TATAACCCCCCCCCAACCCAACTGCATTAAACCGTAGTCCTCCAAAGTTTTCGGTAAAAATGGGCGTAACTGCCTTTTAGCCTCATTTCTGCTTCATTTACATGTTATCGTACCGTACTTTGACAAAATAGCAATATTATGTCAATGTGAAAACATAATAAAAGGCATAATTTGCTTGGTAGACTATCATACCGAGCTTTATCAGACATGCAACATTTAAGATAGCAGTATTATCACTGTTTATTTCGGTTACTAGTAGATCTAGTTCATTTTGAAAAGCAACGTTTTTTTTATGATCAGTTCTACTTAACAACATTTTCTTTTGTGTTATAAATTCTTTTCGGAGAGCCACTTTCCTGACAACCTTTTGGAAGCAATTATTTCGTACACCATACGTACTGTGTCGGTGACACTCTTCTTTTCAGGCTACATGTACCACTTTTGATTTTTTCAAGAACTTATCTGTTCAAATTGATGTTGTGTCACGTTATGAGACAACATGATTCGGTTCTTTTTCTCTTATCGTTTAAATGGATAATTTTTGCTTTTAAGTTCAAAATCTCTTGAGATTGAGATATTTGCATTCCTTTGAGTTCATTGTATGTTTAGTAGCCTGTTTACTCTAAGATAAGGTAAAACATTTCCTGCTGTATTGTTGAATGCCTATAGCTTCCTTTAGAGTGTGCATGTTAGTGTGTATGTATGTATATGTGTGTGTGTGTGAGTGAGTGTTTGTGTGTGTGTGTGTGTGTGTGTGTGTGTGTGTGTGTGTGTGTGTGCGTGTGTTTGTGTGTATGCGTTCGTGCGTGCGACCGTGTGTGTTTCAGAGGTGGGGGTAGGGGTGGTGTTATTAACCCCATCCGTACCCCCTGGGGTTATTTTGTACCCCCAGGGTACTATTCTTCTCTTAGAATATTTCCAGTGCGAAAACCTCTTTGAAACTTCCTGTATTTCTCAGAAAATCATTTTGACAGATTACTATGCAAAGCGTACGAGTCGGATTAACGAGTAAATTTCCTCTTTGGAAAGTGTATAGTCTTATACTTTGTTTCTATAATTTGTATCTTGACAGTGACCAATCAGTTGTAATATATTTTTTTCTAGTTTGCAAAGCGTCATTTATTGTCGTTAAGGATATCCTAGTCACTCAGCCCAAATACGTTGTATTTAAACAATCTACATTCTCCATACTCGAATTTCCAGTATTAATGTGTAGCTTACTTTTTAAAAAATAAAAAATCTCGTATCTTTTTTTTCTGTTTTTTATTGGGAGAGAGAGAGAGAGAGAGAGAGAGAGAGAGAGAGAGAAGCCAAAAAAGAGAACAAGAGCGTATAAATAGTATAATACACTTTATCTTTAAAGCATTCTATTTTAATAACTTCTTCTCAAGACATGGAGCAGCCAGGTTCAGAAAACAACACCGGGCCCTCCCCATCTCCGCCCGAGCGCCAGCACCATCACCATCACCATCATCATCACCACCACCACCAACACCTGGACAGATACACCGGCAAGGGCAGTGAGGCCACAGGCAAGAGAGTGGTCATCGGGGTGGACGGCAGCGAACACTCCAACTACGCTTGTGATTGTGAGTCGATACTCTTTTTACTAGTAACATGTATAACTTTAATTGAGCTAATTTTACTGTCTGAATACATCTAATGATTTTTAGAAGAAGATTAAATACGAGAAACACTTTAGATCTTTATTATGGTTGTCAGTTACTTACTGGCTTTGCTACTTGCAGAAGCAGAAATTACTGTTTCGAATGTAGATGTAACGTCATACATATGACTATGACACAAAATAGGATAAGCACAGGACTTGAGTAAAGAACCAATAAAACGAACTACCCCCCCCCCCCCAAACATGATTGAGTCAAACACGTCACCCTACTTTGGGATTGCAGTATTCAGTTATGCTGTACTTCGACCCACGTTTGCTTTTTGTAAGACCTCTCAAAATGTTTGTATTACATTTTTATAAGTTATTTTTCCTGGTGTGTTTTTGATTGGACACAGTGGAAATGGGTTTACCAAAAGAAACGCAAACCCGTGGTAGTAGCAAACCCCCCCCAACCCC